TACTTTGGCATGGGCTTTTCCTGTAAGTTATAGCCTTGCAGGAAATGCTATAAAATCCAATGTGTAGGTTCCGTTCCAAGAGGACTGGTGATTGTTCATGTTGCACTTATAGAACCTTTAAAAAAAATCATCAATAGTTCCAGGAGATTTTAGCCTTCCATTCCTAGCTTCCAAGTTCATAGAATTTTCTGGCTTGTCAAGACTTCTAGGGAACAAATGACAAACTAAAGAAGGGTTTGTGAAAAGCAGGGTACAACTATGGCAGAATGAAAAGCCTGCAAGTAGACTGGGTCTTTGTAAATTCTTGCTCCGGAAGGCTCACCCGCCTGCCCAAGTTCCTTACCTGTATTTTAAGTCTTTGGCACTTCTGTGCACGGCACATACAGCGCCTGCACAACACTCTGCTAAGCAGCTGGAGTGTTGCGGAGGTTCACAGAGGCACTAAGACACATGCGCGCTGCATGCGTCCATGTGGATGCTGCCAGGCCCGTTCTCGGTTGGAACGGGATCCGGAACCCACCATTGGTTTAGAGTTCTGGTTGATGGAGAAAGAGCAGTCTTGCTGAAACTGTGGTTGGTGCCTTTAAAAGGACATTAGATTCACATACAACCTTTTCTAATCATTTTCAGATATTGCTTGTTAACTGCTTTTCAGCTATGAGGAACTTTTGAATAAATATGAGTTACAGCAATGGTTGAGTTTCCTTAATTCTTAGCAATATCAGTTTTAAATACAAGTTTAAGGACTTTAAAAAATCTGAAATTAGTAAATATAACATGTAAATCTGGATGAGTAAAACCTTGATTTTAGAAAGTTACAAATGGACTAAGGTCCAGATAAATTTAAAATAAGATTTTGGAATTAATTATAAAGAAAGAATCCTTGCCATGGGAAAATGCTTTTGTTTCAAATTCTTAGGAAAAACATAATAAAATGAAGAATTTAAAAATCGACATTAGAGGGAGCTAGAACTAAAGATGGCAATTAAGGAAGAAGAGTACTCAAACTCAATTTGCTAATACAAAGTGAAGGAAAATGTTTTAACATTGGACATATTGAAGGACATTTTTGAACAATGGACCCAAAGATTAATTTTAAGAGTGTCTGCCTCTATGTTTAAACTATAATAAAGTATGGAAGAAGAACAAGTATTACCTGATACGATTGAGACATTTGGAACCAGATTAAAAATGATTGGCTATAAGAATGACATGGAAAAAGATGTTGTACATACAAAAGAAACCAGATGATGTCTTCATAATTAAAAGGATATACAAGAGACTGACCTGGATAGTTTTCCTATATTGGATTGGAAGAGACATATTAAAACTTTGAATAATTTTGTGAGAAAGGACAGAGGAAAAAATAAAAATAAATCAATTTCTAGGATTTTATTTGAAAGTATTAAAGATGGTTAAAAGTAAAAGGAAGGAATATAAAGGTGGCTTATTTGATCAAGTTTAAAATAGATGTTATCTTTTGAAATAAGGGACTTTTGCTGGCATTAGGACTGATGAGGTTTATGGATTATTTATAGATGAGATATGAAAAGAAGAGCTCTTTTTTATATTTAAAGACAAAGTGGTAAGTTGTTAAACATTTTATGATGAAGGGAGAAACCAATTCTTCATATATTTCTTATTTATTATATCTTGTTTTCTCTTTCTTTTCTAGTTTTCACTTTCTAGTTTTTTCTTTTCCGAATTTTCCATTTTTTCTTTTTCTCTTTTGTTTTTTTAATTTTTACTAGTTTTTTTATAAATTTTATTTTCCAATAAAATAACTAATCAAGAATTTTCTTGGATGAGAAGAGAAAATGCAAGAGCATATATGAGTTTGTGTGAACCCAAATCTCTACTCATCATTATATATTTGGTCATGTTCACTGCAAGAAACTACTGAATCAAACTGGGTTTATTTCATGTTCCTCAGTGCACCTATTTTTATTTTTTCCTATTTAACAACTGATTTGTACATTCAGTTGTTAAACTGAATACTTATTACAACCAATTAGTTACAATTTTTTAGAAACATGATTGGGTTTGTAATTGCTTAGCAGAATAAGGCTGAAACTTCCCATTTCCCTAACATTTCCCATTTGATGATCAAGTCTGCCAGCCCATTGAGTTTGATTCCAATTTCCAAACTGCCAAGCTGCACCTTAAAGTTATAAACATAAAATATTTAGTTTTGAGGGCAATGTTAAATTTATTCTGGTAACATTATACACAAATTATGTGGAATATGACATAACACAATCTTTCTCTTGTCTTCTGAATGAACTGAATTTTGCCAAGAAAATCAACCAAAATATTATTCATTTACAGTAACAAAATTTTTATCTATTTTAGTCCACTGGGTTGAAGTCATGAGGATTCATCCTGCTTTTTAAATTGACAAGCTGTAATTTCAGTGTTCATAACACTATTACACTATATTGCCAAAAGTATTTGCTCACAACTGCTTCTGATTATGTGGATGGGTGAGCGAATACTTTTGGCAATATAGTGTATCTGGGCCACTGAAGAAATTTTGGAAGCCATCCATTGGTTTTTTCCCCCTTTTAGAATAGAATAACAGAGTTGGAAGGGACCTTGGAGGTCTTCTAGTCCAAGCCCCTGCTTAGGCAGGAAATCCTACATCACTTCAGATTAATGATTATCCAACATCTTCTTAAAATCTTCCAGTGTTGGAGCATTCACAACTTCTGGAGGCAAGTTGTTCCACTGAGTAATTGTTCTAACTGTCAGGTAATTCCTCCTCAGTTCTAAGTTGCTTCTCTTCTTGATTAGTTTCTACCCATTGCTTCTTGTTCTACCTTCAGGTGCTTTGGAGGTGCTTTTAGTTCAAGGCCAATTCTTTTTTGTTTTTACATTTATATAAAATAAATGTAAATATATTGTTTTTTTATTTTAAAATGTTTCCCATTGGTCTTAATGCATTGAAATGACTTCTGCAAGGCCAGTTGACATCTATGAAAACATTTGTTCCTGCTAACGTTTTTTTTTTAGATGGAGAGACTAAATAGCAATAAGACCTTGGAATAGCAAGTTTGTAGCCTATTTAATTATGGTAACTCCTTGTGCTGCTTGGCAGAAAAACAAGCTCTTTCATTAGGAATAAATAAATAAAAAACAAGGAAAAAATCTCAGTCCTAATGAGAAGAACTTTCTTAACCATGTTTGCAAGGTTAGTGACCCCAATT